GTTGTCCACATCCCTCTTGAAGTGCGGCACCCAGAACTGGATGCAGTACTCCAACTGCGGCCTGACCAGTGCCACATAGAGGGGGAGGATCACCTCCATGAACCTGCTCGAGATGCATCTGTGGATGCATGACAAGGTACGGTTGGCCTTCCTGACTGCTTCCCCACACTGCCGGCCCATGTTCATCTTGGCATCAGTGATGACTCCAAGATCCCTTTCTGCCTCTGTACCGATGAGAAGGGAGTTCCCCAGCCTGTAGGTATGATGCCGGTTGTTCCTCCCCAGGTGTATCACCCTGCACTATTTATAATCACTTTTCACCAGACCCTGACCTTCTGACCAGATTAGGAGGCCTAACTTTCCCAACATTTCTGCTGAGGTTGTATATGGTATGTTTTTCAGTCTATGGCTTTAGCTGTTACTGAGGCTTACTTTTCTGTTAACATTCCTCTGTATGATTTTTACATTTGCTGATCAATGGGTACACCAATTCATGCTCTAGCAAGGCCTATGTTCCCCTCCTTTTTGGCATTGTTAAAGGGAGGGTATTTATCCATCAACCCGGATAAGCCTACTGCATGGATAGCAGATGACTCAGTGGGCTAAACACTGTTGTGTAGCCATCCCATTACTCACCTACAAATTCATGCCCCATGTCTGTCTGTTTTTGGTGTGTACATTCCTTTGGACAACCACAGACAGTATTAGACAATTTATTTTTAGTCCTATATAGTGTGCTTGGGAATTAGGTTTGGGACTTTATTGGAGAGGTGTAGCTTCCTTTGGGATTACTATTGTTGACAAATACAATACTTATTCTTTAAAAGGAATAACTAATACTTATGCTAAATGTTTGCTGGTAAGCATGCTAACATCCAAATACGTGACAGTGTTGCTGAGCAGAATACTTAAGCTTCTGCTTACAAAAGTTCAGAAAGAGATATATGAATACAGCAAAAAAGAGAAAAATACATGAATGCTAAAGCAGTGTTACTACACTGCTTTGTGGATTGCTTACTACACTTGGGTATTCTAGGTATTGTTCTAATTGCCTGTGATCTTTTAGTCAGTTTCCTT